CCCTCCCCCCCTGTCCCCCTCCGCCCCGTGGGCCCCGTCTGCTCATTCCGACCGACCGACCGACCGTGCCCCCGCCTCCTTCCGACCGTGCCCTCCCGTTCCCTTGCTCCCCCCCCCCGCCGCACCCCTCCGCCGCGTGGACCCCGTTCGCTTACAATTCCGACGGGCCGACCGTGCCACCCCCTTGCCCGACCGTGCCCTCCTGCCCCCGGCTCCCGCCCTACGCCTCTCCGCCCCGTGGCCCCCGTCGGCTTATTCCCACCGACCGACCGTGCCCCCCCCCTCTGCCCGACCGTGCCCTCCCGCCCCCCCGCTCCTCTCCGCACCCCTCCGTCCCGTGGCTCCCGTCGGCTTGTTGTCCGACCGGCCGTCGCGGCCCCCGCTTCCGCCGGGCCGTGCCCTCCCGTTCCCCGGCTTCCCCCCCCCCCGCACCCTCCGCCCCGTGGCCCTCGTCTGCGTATTCCGACCGACCGGCCGTGCCCCCCCCCTCGCTGCCCGACCGTGCCCTCCCGTCCCCCGCTCCTCTCGTCCCCCTTCCGCCCCTTGGCCCCGCCCGGTCGTGTCATCCCGTCCACTTGCCGCCCCCACCTCGCCCCTCCCCGTGGCCCCCGTCGGCTTCTTCCGACCGACCGGCCGTGCCTGCCCCCCCCCCCTGCCCGACCGTGCCCTCCCGTCCCCCTTGTTTCCCTCCCCCCCCCCCCGCACCCCATCGCCCCGTGGCCCTCGTGGCCCCCGTGGCCCCCGGGCGACTGTGCCCCCTTCCCTCCTCCCGACCGTGCCGTGCCCTCCCGTCCTCTTGATCCCGCCCCCGCAGCCCTCCGCCCCGAGGCCTCCCGCTGCCTATTCCGACCGACCGACCGTGCCCCCCCCCCTCTTCTGCCCGACCGTGGCCTCCGTCCCCCTGACTTCCCCCCCCCGCACCCCTCCGCCCCGTCGCCCCCCGCTTGCTTATTCCAACCGGCCGACCGTGACCCCCCCCCCGTCTGCTCGACGGTGCCCTCCCGTCCCCCCGTGTCCCCCCCCCCCGCACGCCTCCGCCCCGTGGCCCCCCTTTGCCTGTTTCGACCGACACCCATGCCCCCTCTTTTGCCCGACTGTGCCCTCACGTCCCCCTGCTCCCCTTCCCCCCTGTGGCCTCCCGTCTGCATATCCCGACCAACCGACCATGCCTCTCCCCACCCCCTCCGCCCCGTGGCCCCCGTCTGCCCCCGAAATCACACCTGCCCTTTAGGGCGTCGGTGGTTTAGGGTGTTTCCTCTTCCACCCCCTTCTTCCCCTTCGGGGAGGGGTTTTCCCCTCCCCCTACCCTCTCCCCTGGACCTGGACGGGGCGTTTCGCGAGCGGTCGGGGCGTCCAAAACGGCCTCGGCGAGGAAGCCGAATCATTGGTTTTATTGGGTTTGGGCTCCATTTTGTCCTCTTGGGGGGTCGGCGCTAATTGATGACCCCCCCTGCTTTGATCGATCTCCTCCGAGATGGCCCCACGAGCGCTCCCAAGGCTCCCAAGGCTGCCCTAAGAGGGCCCAAAGAGGTGGCCAGGAAGTCCCAAGGCCCCCAGGATGCCCCCAAGAGGCTCCCAAGAGACCCCCAAGAGCCCCAGGAGGCCCCCCAGAGGCACCCAAGACGCTCCAAGAGGCCTCGGCGAGAATGCCAAGATCACTGATTCTACTGGGGGGGGGGGCACTAGTTAAGACTCCAAGAGCGCCTGGGAGAGTCCAAGATGACCTCCAAGATGGCTCAAGATACCCCAAGATGGCTCCGACGATGCTCCAAGAAGCCCCACGAACGCTCCACTACGGCTCCAAGTGGCCAAAGAGCCCCCCCAGGAGGCCCCGAAGAGGCCAAACTCATTCCAAAACTTCAGGACAATCGCTGTTTTTTGTTGTCACGCTTTTTCGCTTCCGATGGCCGTCGGATGCCTCAAGATGGCTCCAAGATGGCCCAAGAGGGCTCCAAGAGCGTTCCCAAGGCTCCCAAGAGCGCTTCAAGAGTGCCCCAAGAGGCGCCCAGGAGGCCCCAAGAGGCCCCAACGGGCGCCCAAGAGGCTTCCAAGAGGCTCCCAAGAGACCCCCAAGAGGCCCCAAGAAGCTCTCCGAGGCACCCAAGACGCTCTAAGGGGCGCTTGGGACCGCCAAGAGGCCCCCACGACGCTCCAAGAGGCCTCCACTGGGGGACCCTTTGTGTGCTGCCCACTTCCCTGGTCGAGGCAATTCCTCTGGGCATCTTTTCTGAATGGGCTGGCGGGGCTACGCGAAGAGTCAAGGATTGTATGATCTTTGGCACGCGCGCCTCTTGTAACCTTTGGGCGTCGTGTGATTCGCCCCCTGCGGGGCCCCGGTCGGGGGGGCCTACACCACTCGCCGTGAATCCCTTGGCAAGTGAACCACCGAGGGGTCGGCGGATTTGATCTCGCCTCCCGCCATCACCGCATCGACCTCAACCTCATCCTTGCCTTCACTCCCCGTTCCCGCTCTCACCTCCTGATGGGATCCGTTTGTCCGGGTGCCCCCACCCCTTCCTCCCTCCTTGTTGCATCCGTTTGCGCGGGATCCCTCTCCCCCCCCCCTCCTGGTGGAATTCGTTTGTGTGGATGTTCCCTCCCCTTCCTCGTGCCCCATTCCCTCCTCCCTCCTGGTGGGATCTGTCGGTGCGGATGCCGTGGCCCCACGTGTTCCGCCTGCTGTTGTTGCTACTCCTCCTCCTCATCCTGCTCCTCCTCCTCCTGCTCCTCCTCCTCATGCGCCTCCTCCTCCTCCTCCTGCGCCTCCTCCTCCTCCTCCTGCTCCTCCTCCCCTCTCCTCCTGCGCCTCCTCCTCCTCCTCCTCCTCCTCCTCCTCTTCCTCCTCCTACTTCTATGCCGGACGCTGCTGTTTCTTTGCCGCCACCCCCGCGATCACGCACCCCAGCGTTGTGAGCCGGTCTCCAGCTGTACTCTTGTCTGCAGCCCAGCCCTGCGCGAGCACTGGCCTACAGCTCATTGTTCTTCGTCGTTCTCATTGGAGCATTGCGAATGCGTTCCTTAGTTGTCTCGATACGCACGTTTTGAAACGCAACACGTCCCGTGTTGAAGACGTCCGTGTCAACACGTTGCGTGTTGGCTCCACGTATTGGGCCACGTTTTGGCGAACGTATCGCGTCGGACCTGCGTTTTCAGCCTACGTGTTGAGCTCCGTATCAATACGCCACGTGTTGCGTGTTGCGTATCGGGGCAGCTAAGTTGCGAATGCGTTCTCGTTGTTCTTCGTCGTCCTCATGCTCGTCGTCGTTCTCCTCTCTCCCCTGGGGGGCGGGCGGCGCGAGGACGCGAGGGCAATCGCGCTCCGCGAAGCGCGAAGCGCGAACATGGCTGTCCTGTTCTCAAATGGGGCCTGTCCCTCTACAGCAGGAGTATCCCATATTCAAAAACAATCAAAAGATCGTGTAGACTTGTTTCTAACAATCTTTGACTAGTTTGAGCATTCTTTGACTATTGTTCATTTCTCCCTCAACAAAAACCGCCTGCAGGCGGACATGCCCGACCTGATCCTAGTCTCTTCCCCGGCCCGTCTCCCTCCTCCACTCCTGACTGCCCAGCGGAGCGCAGCCTTCTGGGCCGTCAGCCGCTGGCGGCGATGGTCTGCAGAGGCCTGTCACACGACGCGGGGTGGCCTTCGCCGCGCACCTTTTCCTCCAGCGGTGAGCTGACGGTACCGCTGCGAAGCGCCAGGTGCGCGAAATGTGTGGTGGCGGCTGCGTGCAGAAGACAACGCCCGAGCGAACATGCACGTGGAAGATGCCCGCATCGGCTATGCAAATGCAGGAACCTTTGCCCAGGTCGCACACTCACACACGCGAGGAGCTCAAACTTGGCTCTTGAAGCCAGCCGCTCAAACTTGGCTCTTGAAGCCAGCCTGGCCAGCACTTCTCCTTCCCCTCACCTGCTGTCCTCATGCCTGCCGAACCTCTCTCCTCGTCCTTATTACTGTCGTGCTTGTTCAATATTCCTTGCTGCCCCTCCCTCTTGCTAATTAAAGCTGTGTGCGGCCCGCTTAGCTTCGACCGGAAGAGGTGCGCTCTCGACCCGCGGATCAAAAAAAGTTCAATCTTCCTTCCCAGGGTCTGTTTTCACCGACGAGTCGTTTTCTGACGGCCCCGGGTCCTCGGGAACGGCCTTTGCACGCCGTGAAATTCGAAACGCTCCCTGAGTACGACTGGCCCTGTAACCTTCTCCGTCTCCTCCTCCCTCCTCCTCCTCCTCCTCTTCCTCCTCCTCTTCCTCCTCCCCTCCTCCCCTCCTCATCCTCATCCTTAGGAATGGTACAAGGAGAGCGCTCCTGAGGCATAAGTTGTAGTAGTCGTCGCAGTCGTAGTCGAGATCGTAGTCGTAGCGGTCGTAGTCGTTGTTGCGCGGTAGGTGCCGCGGAATAATAATAATAATTAGTGACCCCCCATTGGTGGGGCCCCACTTCTCCAATAAGGCCGCCGAAAAATCTTTGGTTGCCCCCCATTCAGGGTTACCAGCCTCCCGCTCTTTGGTGTGGGTTGCTTGAAGCCGAATGCTTCGTTTTGCGTCGCCAGAGTTCTGGGGCCACCCTCCCTGCGGCCCCAGGTTCGGGCCGGACGAAAAGGGTAGGATACGGTAGGGGCGTTGCTTAAGGAATGTGCCCAGGAGGTTGCAGACCCTGGATGACTCCTTATCTGATGAGGGCGGCGGTGATACCCATGGCCACTCCACGTTTGGAGTTCCACTGGGTTCCAGACCCTGGATTCCTTATCTAAGGGTTCCTTATCCACTACCCACACCGTAGGGACAGAGGAATCCAGCTGTAAGCTGAGTCTCTACCCCTTGGCATCCCTCGGACGTGTGCATTTTTTCTCGGCGAGAATCATCGAGGACCATCCTGGACCATTTAGCAAACAAAACACGCACAAAACCGAAACATGCACGGGAAATAGACGCCCGAGCGACGGCAAGACTCTGCCCTTTGCTGTCCTACCCTTCCTCCCTCCCTGCGGCCCCAGGCGGATGAGCCGCTCGAGGGCAGCTGCAGCGCCAGCGCGTCCAGGGAGAGCGTGGACCGGTCGACGGAGGCGCCCCTCCCCGACGGTGTTCCCGCGCTCGATGTTTTCGGCGGAGGAGGAGGAGGAGGAGGAGGAGGAGGACAAGTTAGGTGCGCTCGCGTCAACATCTGACATCCTACCCCTCCCTCCAATCCCTTACCATGGCGCTGATTTTCTCCGCGTGTCGTAGCGGACCTGTGGCTCCGCGCGCGTGGGCGTAGTGGGTGGTGGTGCGCGTGCGTGCGTGCGTGTGTGCGTGGTTGTGGTTGTTGTGGTGGTGGTGTGTAAGTGTGTGTGTGTGCGTGTGTGCGCGTGTGCTGTGGTGTGACGTGGTGTGCCGTCTTGGTGGTTTGGTGGTGGGCCAGGTGCGTACGTGCGTGATGGCAGTGGTGGTGGTGGTGGCGGTGGTGGTGGTGTGTGTGTGTGTCTGTGTGTGTGCGTGTGTGTAAGTGAGTGCGTGTGTATGTGTGTGTGTGTGGTGTGTGTGTGTGTGTGTGTGCGTGCGTGCGTGCGTGCGTGCGTGCGTGCGTGCGTGCGTGCGTGCGTGCGTGCGTGCGTGCGTGCGTGCGTGCGTGCGTGCGTGCGTGCGTGCGTGCGTGCGTGCGTGCGTGCGTGCGTGCGTGCGTGCGTGCGTGCGTGCGTGCGTGTCTGTGTGTGCGTGTCTGTGTGTGCGCGCGTGTGATGTGGTGTGACGCGGTGTAGCGTGGTGGTGGTGGGTGGGGTAGTGCGGTGGTGGTGGCGGTGCGCGGTGGTGATGCGCGTGCGTGCGTGCGTGCGTTGGTGGGTGGAAGTGGCGGTGGGTGTGCGTGCGGCTGGGCGGGGCGTGGTGCGGCGCGGTGGTCGCGGGCGGATGGGCGCGCGAGAAAGAGGCCCGCGCTGGGGCGAGAACGCCATCCTGAACGACGGAGGCAAAACACCGATCCGAAAATGAGGCCCACGCTGCAGCGGGAGCACGATTCGGAACGATTCGGGAGCAGAAATGAGGCCGGCGCCTCAGCGAGAGCAGCATTTTGAAAAAAACGCATGCGAAAACCCAACTCCCGGGAATCCTGTGTGCAAAAAAACAGTACGCGGGGGGGGGTCGACTACTTTCAGGCGTCTTCGGGGAAGAGGGAGAGTAGTATTCATATTGAGTAATTGTGGAGGAGGAGGAGGAGGAGGAGGAGGAGGAGGAGGGGGAGGGGGAGGAGGAGGAGGAGGAGCAGGAGGAGGAGGAGGAGGAGGAGGAGGAGGAGGAGGAGGAGGAGGAGGGGGGGGAGGAGGAACCGTCTGCCCGTTTCGGGGCAGGATGGCCGCGCGCGGAGCCCGCCATATCCCCCGCCACGTCGGCGGCTCCTGGCGGCGGCGGCACCTCGCAGCGAGCGCCGTGCCTCGAGGCGGCGGCGCGGCGCCGCCCTGGTGCGAGGCGCACGGCCAAGCGGCCAGAGAGCCAGCCTGGCACAGGCGAGCCCGTGCCACGCGAGCGCAAACTCGGGTGCTGCTTCGCACGCAGGCACATCGCAGAAGTCCTGCCGTCGCACCGCTCATCGGCAGGCATGGCACATCGTCATCAGCGACGCAGTGGTTTCAGCGCTGGACGGCAGGAGAACAATCGTGGACATGTAACGTGTGCTGCCATTTGAACAGAATTACCCTGCGACGTACCTATCCCGTCGGCACCAAGGGATGGTATACGGTGTGCCGACAATAGTGGGACAGCAACATTGCAAGAGACGGTGCAAGGTGGATATCTATATCGCACGAAGTGTGCGCGGCCGACTCGCAGAACAGAGGTACAAAAGGCCAGGAAACATTGCGTTGGAAAGGAAAAGCGAAAGGAGACATGGGGGTGGAAGGACAATTGCCTCGGCAGGAGCAGCGAGATGATGGAAGATGGGCAAGATAAGGTTACTTAGGCGGAGAAGCAACCAGACAATGAAGTGTTGCGTTTTTCGATGCCGGGATGCTCAACACCTGCGCGGCCAGCGCTCCGCGTTGCTGCAGCGCCTCGGAAGTTCAAAAGCTCCCGTCAATAGTGTAAGAAGCGGCCACGGCTTAGCTAGCACCCCAGCCTCTCCGCTTCCTTCCTGCACCTCTTATTGCGAGCACTAAACGCGCGCGTGCGCGCCGCCAGCCCTTGAAAGTGACGATTGTTTCACGGCGTAGCCCCCCCAGGGATGGCGAGGTCCCGTTTGGATTTCCGTGGGGCCCAACTGTGCCGGCTCCCCCAACAGCTTTCGAAAGATGCGACAGTTTCACACTTCGCAGCCTCCCAGGGATGGCGAGGTCCAGTTTTGGCGTGCGTGGGACCTCATTATGCAGGCTCCCCCAGCAACCCTCGAAGGTGGCGAGCGACAGTTTTACAGTTCGCAGCCCGCCAGGGATGGCGAGGTCCCCTTTGGGTCTGCGTGGAGCCCCGCTGTGCGGGCTCCCACAGCAACCCTCGAAAGGGCGACCGCTTCGCACTTCGCGGCCCCCCCAGGGATGGCGAGGTCCCGTGTGGGTCTGCGTGTGGCCCCACTGCGCGGGCTTCCCCAGCAGCCCTCGAAAGTGGCAACCGTTTCACACTTTGCAGCCCCCCAGGGCTGGCGAGGTCCCGTGTGGGCCTGCGTGTGGCCGCACTGTGCGGGCTCCCCCAGCGGGCAGGTGCAGCCAGGCGGAGGCAGGCGAGAGGGGGACAGAGGGCGGGAGGAGGAGGAGCGGAATGGAACCAGCACCCGATTTTTTATTCAAAACGAGAAACCCGACCCAGGGAGGGTTGAGAGTCAACGGTTGGGCTTGCAAAGGCCAAGGATGCCATAAAGTTCGCCGCAAGCTCAGACGGTGATCTCCCAGCAGCACGACATCCGCACGCACGTGGAGAGACCATGACGTCGACGACGCAGTTCGCATTTTCGCGCAAGGCGTTCGTTCCCAAGCCTGAGGCCACGTCGGGGCTGAAGGCCTGCCGTAATATAGTGGAGGGACATATCGCGACGATCGCAGAGTTGCTGTTACAAGGCCGCAGGGCGGGAACGAGGCTTATCATTCAGGAGTGAGAATTGGCGGTGTTGAAGGTGATGCTGTAGATGCCCAAGCCAGTCAAGCTACGAAAAAAGGACGTGGAGGATGGCGACCGCGACAGGTAGAAACTTAATAGCAGAGGCTGAGGAGAAGCTCAACAACCTCGATGTGGACTTGATGTACGAAAGCCAATGTCTGATGTAGGGGAAGTCAAGGCGAGTGGGAGGAGGAGGAGGAGGAGGAGGAGGAGGAGCAGGAGGAGGAGTGTTACATGGAGGAGGGTGTCAAGGACGAGGGAGGAAGGAGGAGGGGAAGAAAGACTACGGGGAGGAGGTAGAGAGAGAGGGGGGATGGCCGTAACATCCAGGCGTCGTTCGCAAACATGACGGGAAGCTGCTTAAAACCGCTGCGGACCCCAGGGGTCCTTACGGATCGGCCAACCTCCAAGCATGTCGTGTGTGTGTGTGTGTCGGGTGCTCCGACCGTGAGGGTTGAGTGCGCAGTCTGTGCTGGGCAGGTGGAAATGGGGGGTGACCTCCATGGGGGATGAAGAACAGGTCCTTTTAGGGCCTGGTCTTCATCCTCGAGTGAGGTCGCCCACCAGTACCCACCGACCGACTGTGACGACGTCGGGATTTCGCGGGGGGGGCTCCTTGGGGGGAGCGTGGTTGTTGGTCCGTGTCGACTTGCTCTCTCGCCTGATCGCGGTCCCATACCGCTCCTGATCCGCCCGCTCCTCCTCTTCCCCCTTCCCTTTCCCTTTCGCCATCCCGGTCCCTGTCACCTTTTATCGCCCCTCTTCCGCACGCAACACATACTACTGCCTGCGCGCAGTCGGCGCGTCTAAACAAGAATTTGTGCTGGCTCGGCACGGACTCAGCTCTTTCGGGCTGCTGCAGGATGCTCCAAACCAAACTTGGAACAACACGACTCGCCTCGTTTCTTCTTTGATGTCCTGTACCGCAGGGCCTCGGGTCGACCTCTTTTGTGGGGGAGGTCAGACTGTTGGAGCTTGCAGCTCATTTTGTTGTTCATGGCTCCCCCCAGAGATGTCGCAGTCATCTGCGGATCGCGAAGGAGGGAGGGAGGACGGAAGCAGGGATCCAAGGACGGAGGGACATGGGGCTCGGGAGTGGAAGGGACGGGGTTACGCGAATGGAGGGAGGATTGACAGGGTGGTATGTGCCCCCCTCCCCATCCTCTCCGCCCAATGTCGAAACGCCGAATATGAAAACGCTGACCTGGGGAGTTTAGGTGCCGCTCTGATTGCAGCAGCAAGAAGGTGCTTGAACTTACCGTCAGGCAACCCTTAGGTGTTGGCCCCCCAAAGGTCCGTAGGTGCTGGCCCAAAAAATGACACAAAACATGTCACCGGTGGAGGCGCCAGCTTCGCGGAGGTCGAGAACCCTTGTCATTTTGGCCTGGGCTTCCCAAACAACGAGCATGGCGGGTGGAAGCTCGTCTGCGGCCCCCGTCGGGAGCATCTCTTTCCGAGTCGCAGTGCGCCTGGCCTCCAGTCTGAGAGTTCCTCGCGAACAGTGGCCCCGCCCATCCATCGAGAGAAAGGAGAGGTCATCGATAAGGCCCTTCAAAATCACCAAACGAAGCAACGTGGCCAGGCGGCGCAATAATGAATCCAGCAACAGCCTAGCTAGGGTGGTGGCTCCTGAGCATCCGGCTATGGCTGCACCATTCGGAGCCATGACTTTGGAGATAGCCCCTTGCCAAGTGACTCTGCGGGGTGATCTACACACCATGCAGTAAGCCCCGAGAAGCGGAATTGGAAATCCTACCTGCTCAGCGGGGGCTCTAAGCCCCGTATGGCTGATGTTCTTTTAATATGTTCGGAAATCCAGGAACAGGGTTCCCGAGACCAGGCCAGGAGTCTCCCGAGCAAAAAGCCGCCAACGCGCCTTGGACCCACGCACTTTTATCACAGTCTGTTGATGGAATCCGACCGCAGAAAAACGAGGCGTCCAAGGAACGCTCCCCCTCCGAACACATATTGTGACGTATGCGACTCCAAGCCCTGGCCCAAGTAAGAAAAGCCTTATGGGCTTTACCCCGCCGACGGGATTGTTCAAACATGCGACCAATACAAGTTAGAGCGGCCCCGTGACAGGATTTCGTTCCCACTTCGTGGGAATATCCGCAAACAGTTGGACCCAGGAGCGCTGTATTTTCAGAAGGAGCCGCGGGTGAAACTCATCGAGCCCTGAATTGGTGGAGGTGGGAAGCCTTGGCCGCATTCAACGCCTGCTCGGCCGCGATCTTCGCGCACCCATTCGCGCGGAAGACCCTCAGCAGCACGGCTGCTTGTGCACCATATCGGAAACCAGTTTGGCCGAGTTTGTTGCAACGCCGCGCCACTTGCGAGGAGAGTGCTCTCCGCTTCCTCGTCGCTGTCGGGCATGACAGGCTGAGGTGGGGCCGGGGGACCCTTCTAGTAACGACTTGCGATGCTGCCGCCCGAGGCGACCGAGCCTTTGGCGTAAGTTATCCATGTCTGATGTCCCTCCGCAGCCTGCCGAACATTTGTTCAGAGACCTTCGTACATCCCTTGAGACAGGGTGGCCGTGCTCAAATCTCCCAGCTGCTCCCCAAGAGCACCTGGACAACTCTTGTCATGTACCCTGGCCTTCAGAGAATCCTAGCTCTGTCAGCTTCTAGTCTCAGGGAAAGCGTGGCGAGCCTACGCACCGAGAGCCACTCTTGGGTGTCCAAAGGGCCCCTCTTGTGCAACTCCTGGCCCCAGGCAGCCTCCAGAGTCACCGACTCGATCTGACAACCAGCCGCCCAGCCTACATGCTGAGCTGTGCCGCTGGGAAACGAGTGAATACGAAGGAGGGCCTTCTCAGCCTCGGTGAACCACTTGCCTGCGGCCTCCATGAGACTGACGTGGTTGAGATCAAACTCGAACCGAAGAGCCTCCTTCTTAGATCTCAGGAATGCAAAACTCTTCGGCACAATTTGCTTCCGGGCTTTGGCCTGATCGGCCAGGCCCTTGAGCTGCAGGTGAACGGCCTGGTGTGGCCCAGCAGGCGTGTCTGGCCAGGCCTCGGACCTTTTAACGTACAGGTCTGAACAGCGGTGGGCGGCATGCTAATCATAACAGTTGTCGCGGCAGGTGGCAGACTCAGGTCTGACAGTTGATGATGACAGATGGTCGCACCAACCGTTGGCTCGCCACGTCTCGGCGTTTATGTTCCAGCCGCCTGCTAACAGCACTGGGATGAGGCTTCCCCACGCTCGCAAAGTTGCGCAAGGACGTTGAGCTTTCGAACGTTTCACCTGCCAAGCCGATGCCGATCTAGGTGTGCCCATGCACCGGCACCAGGAGGAACTGCACCTGCGGGGGGGGGAGGTCGCTTCTTTGGCGGGCGGTAGGGGGGGCTGACCTAACTCGGGGGTGAAGAAGACTTGGCATCGCTCGGACGTGTGCTTTGGTTTCCTCGCCGAGGACAATCGAGGAGCATCCTGGACCATCGAGCAAAAAACCACGCACAAAACCGATCAATGCACGGGGAATGGACGTCCGAGCGATGGCAAGAAGAGGGCGGGGCCCTTGAGCGCCCCTTTGGGAGCCAGCAGGGCCCCTCGAGGATCCTTTTCTCATCTCCCGTTGAGGTCACCCCCACCCCCGCCCGCCCGTTGTTGCCTTGGCAGCCATGCGAGGCCCAGTATTCCTGTGGTCGAGATGTGCAGCCCCAGACCTTGCCGAGGTAAGCACAGCCACCCCTCCTGGAGTAGCTCTATCTGCAACCCCAGTAAGGCAATGGAGAGGAGGATGATAATGTTGATGACGAGGAGGAGGAGTAGTTTAAACCCAAGGCCCATCAACGATACTGCAATACACCCTCCCTCCAAGGCCCCTCTTCACAGGCCCCATACAATATTCATTTTATCTGAAGGACGTGACCCGTTGAAAAACAACCGTGGAGAGGGGGGGGCGGGAGGAGGACCAAGAGGGGCACGTTGCGGGGAGGAAAGAGCAGGAGGAGGACAGAGAGCGGTAGAGGGACGACGAGAAAGAGGACCGGGAGGGACGGAGATCGAGGAGGAAGGAGGAACAACGAGGAACAAGGAGGAGGGATGAGGAGGAGCGAGGAGGAGGAGGAGGAGGAGGAGGAGGAGAAGGAACGGGAACGAGGAGGAACGAGGAGGAGACGGGAACGAGGAGGAACGAGGAGGAGGATGTGGACGAGGAGGAACGGGAGGAGGACCAAGACAAGGATGAGGCGCCGCAGAAATTCTACGCTCTGCCCTCCTCCAAGTGAGGGCGAGCATGGGCTCGCACGGCCCAGAGCCTCAGCGGCTCCGAGACCCGCGCAGGCGCCGTCCCTGCTGCCTTGGTGGACTGGTGGGGTGGGGGGCGGCTCATGCTCCTCCGCTCCCCTTGGTCGAATGAAGCGGCATGTTCTGTATGGCACATCTGGTACTCGAATACACTCGTGCAGCTTAGGTACTGCCTTGGTGCAAGCCTCCTGCGTTCGCCTTTCTCTTGGCACCCTCGAGCCCTTCCTCCTGCCCTCCCTCCTCCTCCTCCTCCTCCTCCTCCTCCTCCTCCTCATCATCATCATCCTCCTCCCCCTCCTCCTCCTCCTCCTCCTCCTCCTCCTCCTCCTCCTCCTCCTCCCCCCTCCTTCCTCCTCCTCCTCCTCCTCCTCCTCCTCCCCCCTCCCTCCTCCTCCTCGGGCTCCTCTCCCTCACTCCTCGTCCCCACCCCCGGGGGGGGCCCCCGTGGCCACCGCCCGGATGCAGCCCTCGGCGGCGAGCGAGGGGGGGGAACCGAGCAGGAGGAGGCCCTCTCCAACGGCGGCGGGGCTTCTCGGAAGGCCTGGCGCCTGGCGCCTTCTGAGGAGCTGTCTGCGTCTGCGGGTGAGGCTCCGAACGCTTCTCCAGAAGGCCGGGGGACTTCCGAGCCTTCTGCTGAGGAGGCCGTTTCTCCTCCGCACTTCCCCCCCTTCGCTCGCCGCCGCAGCCTGGAAGCCTGGCGAGGACGCGCCCCCGGGAGGAGTCCGGGGAGCAGCTTCGGAGGAGAGCAGCAGGGCCAACCAGGGGGCGGGGGGGTCATCTGTGCCGGGCGGACAGCAGCGGGGGGGAAGGGGGCATCCAAACGTGGGGGACCGAGGAATGCGGGAAAGTCACCCTCAAGGGTGCCCCAAGCGGCCCCGAAGCTCCCACCGCGCACGCAGGGGGGAATCACGAGAGATGCACGTGCCTTCTCCCCACGGGCTCCGCACACCAGCGCTCCTTGCTCGCAGCTAGGCGGCAAAGGGTTTCGCGGCGTGCAGAGGTGCAGGGAGGTCCCGAAGGTTGGCCCCTCGCCCTGGTGTTATGTCGGGCGTGTCCCCCTATACAGGGGGATTTTCGACGAAAAACAAAAAATACTCCCAAATACACCAAAACGGTCAAAACATATTCACAGAATGGTCCCCACATCATGTTTGGACTATTTTTAAAAAAAAATATGTTTGGGGTATTTTTTATTCTTCGTCGAAGATCCCCCTGCAGGGGGACAGGCCCGACGTAACCCTGGTCGTCCTTCGGGTAGCAGGGTGCAGTCAACACCGCCGACGTGATGACCGCTTGGGACTCGACGGCGGCTCATGGCCCTCAGGCCGTCCCTCCGCTTCGGGTCTCCGGAGCCGGCTCGAGGCCAAGGATCGCCGTGGTCAGCTGGGCCCCAGCGCTCCTGATGCGGCGTTCCGCACTCGAGGGCATAAGAACTGGGCATCGCTCGGACGTGTGCATTTTTTCCTTTGGCGAGGACCATCGAGGAGCATCCTCGATTATTTGGCAACAGTAAAAAACGCAAGAAACCGAACAAAGCACAGGGAATGGACGTCCGAGCGATGGCGAGAGAAACGCCCCTACCCTGGTTTACGAGGCGCTGTGCACTGAAGCTCCTGTGGGCCAACAGGGTCAACCCTGCGTGGTGTGCGGCGTCTCGGCGGCTCTCCAGGCTCTGGGGTTCCCAGGAGGTTTACAGACCACGCGTTTGTAACCCAGGGTAGGGTCGTTTTTTCATCCCTCACGTATGGTAGCACGACGAGTCCATCCCACCAGAGATTTGCAGAGACCCCCCTCCCCAAGGGGAGAGCCTACTGCAAGGCGCGGCGTCGTCCGCGGGCCAGTTCCACTCCAGACGAAGGCTGGAGGCTGGACGCCTCCGACTCTCTGATGCTACTGCTTTGAAAAATGCTTGCTGGTGCGCCGAATCATGGAAGCTCAGTCTCGCACCGACTGTCCTGACATGTGCCCAGACGAGAGTGGGAGGAGAAAGAGAAAGAAGAAGGACAACGACATCTACGACGAGGGGCGCGAACGAGGATGAGGAGGAGGAGGAGGAGGAGGAGGAGGAGGAGGAGCAGGAGCAGGAGCAGGAGCAGGAGCAGGAGCAGGAGCAGGAGCAGGACAAGGAGGAGGGGGGGCCCCAGAGGTTCCCAGGATGATCCTGGTGGGTTCCAGAGGACGCGAGACGCGAAAGGCCAACCCGATGAGGAAAAGCTTAGCCACCTCCTCCTCGCTCTCCCCCTGAAAGCGGACAGACTCGAGCCTGGCCTGTCTGGAGGCCGCGCCAAACTCGAGGGGCTGCGGCTCGCAGGCCGGGGGGGGGGGGGTGCTGCGCAGAGAGTCGAACACCCAACTTGGGTGGGCCCTCGCACGCCCTCCCTGTGCCTGCGACCCCACGACTGCCCACGACCGTGAGCCACGTCGTCTGTTTTGCCTGTCCTCCTCGCCCCCTTCGTCCTCGAGTTGGGGGGGCCCCTCCCCCCGCCCAGCCCCTCCAGCCTCTGCGAGGCGCCCCGCGCGGCCGAGGGCCTCCCTGGCGCCGCCGGCGACGCCGCGGCGGGCGGTGCCGCCCTCGCCCCGGGCCTGCGGGCCGAGGAGACGTTTGTCCTCCCACCCTGTAGGGAAGGGGAGGAGGAGGAGGAGGAGGAGGAGGAGGAGGAGGGGGAGGAGGAGGAGGAGGAGGAGGAGGAGGAGGAGGAGGAGGAGGAGGAGGAGGAGGAGGAGGAGGAGGAGGGCCCTCCCACTATGGACCAGTGGAGCGGGAGGGGATCAGAGCGAATGTCTTCTCATGCTTGGGACCACGTTGTGCATGGCGGCGCCGCCACGGCATCACATCCGTGGCGGGGTCTCGGGACGTATGGCCCCACTTTGGCCCGGGCCGCGCCCGCGCGCCGCCATGGCGTCTCGGCCGGGCGTTGGGCTCCGGGCGGCCCAGCGTCGACCACACGTGCGTAAGCGTGACCCCTCGCCGAGGTGTCCTTCAGTGCGCACCCACCGGGATCCCCCGATCGCTGCACGCGGTGCGATAGGAGCATCTTGCCCGTTCGGGTTCCCCACCCCAGCGCTCCCCCTAAACCCGCGCACCGAAGGGCAGTTCTACCTACAGCGCCGGTTTTTAATACATGCTCCGCGTGCGGATCATGTATTAAACATGCAGGGATTGAGCAGCAAAAACAACGATGAGTTCATGCATCAATTTACTCATAAATTAATCATGTATTAAAAATCCGATATTTTCAAAAATCCCACGGATGAAAAGCTGCCCTGTAGGGTCGCCCCTGCGTGCAGACGACGGCGGGCAAGGGGGGCGAGATCGGGGCCCTGGTTGGCCAGCAGGGCTTTGCACAAAATCCACCGGGGGGGCACGGGGAAAGAAGCAAGGTTTGGACCCACGGCTGCGGCGTTCTGCTGGTGTGGCAGCGTTACTGCTCCTGAAGGCCCCCGTTCACGGGGCCCTGACGGGAGGAGGAAGGTTTGGGATTGTCATGTTTGAACATGTTTTCTTGGTTGGCCAGCAGGACTTTTCATAAAATCCACCGGGAGAGCACGGGAAAAGGGGCAAGGTTTGGACCCACGGCTGCGGCGTTCTGCTGGTGTGGCAGCGTTACGGTAGGTTTGCGTCGTGTCGACCGGCGGCGACCCCAGCGCGGACGTTCAAGGTTGAACGCCGCCGGCGACCCAGAATCGATCGATGTTGAACGATCGGACGTTGCGGCAGCGGTCGATCGTTCAAGGTTGAACGATCCCTGCGGTGTCAAAAACCAACGCTGGGGTCGGCACGACACGAACCTGCTGTACTGCTCCTGAAGGCCCCCGTTCACGGGGCCCTGACCGGAGGAGGAAGGCTTGGGATTGTCACGTTCGGGCATGTTTTCTTGGCTGGATCGCCTCCTCTTGTTTGCGTTTGCTGTGCCGTGCTGTCAATGTTTGCGTCGTGCCCTTTCTTGCCTTGAGTTGCCTGTTCTGCTTTCGGAGGCCTAGAGGTTGGCACCAACACCAATCCGCAGGGGGAAGATGATCCCGACCTCGGCGATGGTGGTAACATTCGGGCTCCCTGGGTCGCCAAAATATTCCCACAAGCGCCAGAAGCCAGGAGCACCAGAAGCATGGGGAGTCTGTTTATTTGTGTGTATTTATCTGTGTGTTTGCGGGCCCCTTCAAATGGGTTGGTGTTGGTGCTCATGTCCAGGCCTCCAACGTGTTGCATTTCTCTTGTGTCGTGGTCCTGTGTGGTGATCTTGTTGTCTTCGTGCGCCAGGGATGTTCAAGTGAGAGGCTGGCCTGCTGGCGGGTGCCACGCGCCGATCCTCCTGCGGGGCCCGCGCTGCAGCGGGAAACCTTCCCTGAGCAGCAGCAGCGCTCCGACGGGGGACACACTTACCGCAGAATCCCATGATGCCACGTACACGACTTAGTTGTGTGGAGGACGATCAACGGAGAGGAAGCATGTTGCCAAGCAATTGCCAGATGTACAGAAGATGTTCCAATACTGTTTTATTATGTAGAAACAAGCTCGAAATATGTTTAGAACATGTTTTCCACAGTTTAAACCATCTTTAGTTCAATGATCGGATTGTTAGAGTGTCCATTGTCGTGGCATCCACAAACTTATTTAGCATCACGTAGCTCACACTATGTAGATGAGTACGCTGGCTCCTACCGTATCTATTGCACCATATAGTTTGCATCACGTAGCTTGCACCGCTTTTCTTTCACCACGTAGCACATATTCCACATAAGCTTACCAAGCAGCGATTGCAAGACACCTGCTGCTTGGGGTCCTCGCTGGCTGACATCTTCACATGATGCCACGTGCGCAAAGATCCGTATGCGGAAGAGGCGTCGCCCTGCTCGGGCTGCAGCGGGAGGGTCGTGCTCACATCGATCTGGGCACGAGCGCGTCACATCGGACATCCTGCACTTCCCACCCATCCCTTCCCATTGCGCTGAGTTTTGTTCTCGATCCGCCGACAAGGTGTCCAATCGGACGGTCCTCCACGTGACCCCACCGTGTGAGGCGCCATCAGGGAGGGGAGCTGCGCACATGTGATGAGGAGGGGGTGGCGAGTGAGCCGCAGGACGAGGAGGATCAAGGGAGGGTGGCGGAAGGAGAAGGATGACGAGGAGCAGCAGCTGGAGCAGGAGCCCGAGAGGCGGGAGGAGCAGGAGGTCCAGGGGATGGCGGGGGAGTGTCAAGAGGGGGAAAAACACACTGACACAATTAATCGTCGATTCCCAGGAAAATGTGGGAAAATATGGGAAGTGGGGGGGGAAGACAAAAGCCCAGAACATATGTGAAAATATGGGGAATGTTTTTATTTGTGTGCATTTATTTGTGTGTCCTGGGGCCCCTTCAGAGTGGAAAGGAGGGGGGGCGACGGCGACGGGGAGGCGGCCAGCTCCAGAAGTGTGCCCCGCGCTTGGGCGAGAGCGCCAATGCCGAATGGCGGGAGCAGCGCGCCCATCGCGAGATGAAGCCAGCGCTGCGGCGGGAGCACCTCTCTGTTGACAAGAGCGCTCCCATCGAAGTAGCCTCATGACTAACCATGAACAACCATTGCTTGGAGTCCGATGCAGAAGGGGAAGCACCGTGTGCGGGAGGGAGGGTGCCCCGAGCGCACGGTATCCAGGGAGATAATAGCAGTCGTATCGAGCATGTGATATGTAGAGGAGGACGAGGAGGAGGAGGAGGAGGAGGAGGAGGAGGAGGAGGAGGAGGAGGAGGAGGAGGAGGCCGACGAGGAGAGGAAGGAGGAGAGGGGGAGGACGGGGGGGGGAGGAAGAGGGGGAGGAGGAGGCTTCACCTTCCGTGCGGCAGCCACTGCCCGCTCCTCCCTTCCCGCCTCGCCCCCCCTCTTTGGCCCGGAGCCGCGCCCGCGCGCCGCCATGGCGTATCGGCCGGGCGGGGGGCTCGAGGCGACCCGGCGGCGGGAGGGGAGGGGGGGGGATGGAGCAGGGTTCTGGAGCCCGCTATGGTATTGCTAACCCGGATTTTTCGAGATCCACCCCGAGGGCACGGGAAATGGGCGAGGCTTCGACCCACGGCTGCCATGTTTTTTCGGGTGTACCATCGTCATGGTTTATGAAGGTCCCCGTTTACGGGGCCCTGGGGGGAGGATGAAGTTTGGGACCTCTGTTGGGACATTTTTGAGTTTCCGACTCAATCACCTCTTGCTTGATCTTGTCGCCATGCAATGTTGTCAATGTTTGCGTCGTGCCCTTTCTTGCATTGGCTAGCTTGCTCCGCTTCTCTTGACGTCGTTTTGTCGCCCTGCTTGGCGATCCCGCAACCCCTGAGCACTATGCACATCACATTGACAATTGACCTGCCAGCTGGTGCCTCCCGAAAGTGTTCTATTGTCCTGTGATCTTGGATATTGTTATGGGGTCTTGAGCTGGTCTACGTTGTCGAAGGACTGGCGAATAGTGTGACCTTGATTTCGCATCGAAGGTAAATGTTTGCCAGCGTGGGCCGCAAAGCGTGTGTTGTTGCACTCGTTGTGCACCCCAAGTGGTTCAACCCATGCGACGCAATCTATGTGGCACAATCCATGTGGTGTACTGTGTGATGCAAGCGATGTGGCGCCATCCATCTGGTGATGGTTAGATGAGGTGGGGCGCCGATTTCGGCGGCACGCCCGGGTGCCCAGATGCCCGGGTGCCCTATAGCCGTACAGCCTTACAGCCCTATAGCCCTACATCCCTATGGCCTTATAGCCGTATAGCCTTACCCTATAGCTCTATATGCTATAGCCCTGTAGCCCTATAGCCCTATAGCCCCATAGACCTATAGCCCCATAGACCTATAGCCCCATCGCCCCAGAGCCCCATAGCCCCATAGCCTTTAGCCCTACAGCCCTATAGCCCTATGGCCTGTAGCCCTATAGACCTACAGCCCTAAGGCCCTACAGCCCAATAGCCCCATCACCCTATAGCCCTAAAAGGTTATGGTTGGGTAGTTTTCGCCGTCATGATTCAAGAGACCATTGGTGCAGCCACTGTTTGATGAAGTTATATTCGGAGTCGTAGTAGTAGTAGTAGTCGTCGCAGTAGTAGTAGTAGTAGTCGTCGTCGTCGTCGTCGTCGTCGTCGTCGTCGTCGTCGTCGTCGTCGTCGTAGTCGTAGTCGTAGTCGTAGTCGTAGTCGTGAGTATTAGATAGAAGTAGTAGTAGTAGTAGTAGTAGTAGTCGTAGTAGTAGTAGTAGTAGTAAGTAGTAAGTAGTAAGTATTAGTAACTAGTAGTA